GTGCAAAAATGGCAAGTGTAAAGTAACTATGTGTAAGACTATGTATTACGGAGAGGGGGGGTGTCTGACTGTCAGAGGGAGGCGTTGAAATATTTCCTCAGAACAAACTGTGACAAATCAATATATTTAACTTCACATCATTGCCAGTTTAGATATAATGTTTACCACATATCAGGAGACACCATCAAAGAGAAAAAGAGCAACGGTTTCTAAAGATATCTAGTGACCAAAATGAACAATCTCTCTCCATATATATATATAGATATGTATATATATGCCCAAGTGCATAATGTGGGGCTCAACCACACATTTCCTTCCAGCCAACTCATCCAAAAGTGGTTTTGTGGGAGGAACAGTCACCTCTGGGTAAAATCCCCCTGTAATGTCACATTTGACTTTTTGCAGTGCAGCTCTGGATAAATGTGATGAAGCTCACCTTCACAGCAGTTCCTCCCTTTGGTGCTTTTTCTTTCTTGTCAGCGTCTGCACTTCCTGAAGCAGCTCCTACACAGTATCGAGATTCAGCACCATGACACCAACACGTTCAAACCAATGGAAAACAACAACAACAACAACCCCAACACACAATAACACTGTAGCAAGCAATGTGATGGAGTTAAACCTACATTAAAGTGTGTGTCACAGTTTTATACTACAGGCTCGTAAATGTGACTAACTTTAGGCTACCAGTTCATATCACATTAACAACATTAGATAAAGGACCACTAACCTTTACCGCCCTTGCCACCTTTCCCCTTTGGTGGCATTTCAGATGAATGTATGAAGAAAGTCGAGCACTAATAAAGAGGACACAACCTGCAGTAGCATGCGCTCATACTATGTTGTGATTAACATGCGCAGTAACCTGCGCAGACAGCTCTTTTTTCTTTTTCTTTAGCTGGTTATTGGCAGATTGCATCGAGTTAATGTCCATAGCGCCACCCAGTGTAATGAGCCAGAGGGTGCAGCCTCAAATTAATATGCACTTTGATTTAAATGTGTTAAATTTAAAATATATTATCTTATGTGTACATATATTATCATGTTATAAAAAGGTAACTATTTATGGACTTATTTATTTAGCAGCAACATGCACCTTAAATTGAAATAAAAGGCTTTTTTGTTAGGTCGTATTAGAAGAAAGTTACTGAAATAAGACATGGTCGTGTAGAATGATAATATAGCATATAGGTCAGGGGTTTCCAACATTTTTCATGTGATTATAGATGAAGATTAGTCCATGGATCCCTAATTCGAGAGGATTTTGTCTTAAAGGAATCCCCTCTGCGTAATTTTGTATAATAAAGTCTTCATAGTCAATCAATGATCAAACTTGGGTCACTACAAGGTTTCAAATATGAGTCTTTATAGTCGAACAAAATGGGATTTAAATTAAAAGTAAAACGTCTTCCCTTGTTGTTCCATCTTCCAAAATATTAAAATATAACATTGCTCCTTTTGCTGGGGACCCCCTACAACACACTCAAGGACCCCTGTTGGTCCCTGGACCCCAGTTTGAAAACTATATTACGCTATAATTGTCAGGAAGTTAATTAAATATGCAACATGGCAGCATGGGAAGTAATAAAAAGTGAAATATTAAGGTTAGTAAAAAACAAACAAACAATGGCTTTCTACTATACAGGATATATATATATATATATATATATACTATATTATAAATGAAGGCACAAAAAATAGGCCTACAATCTAAAAAAAAAGTCCACAATGAAGCTTTGTATGAAAGTGGGTGTTAAAATAAGATAAAACACGTATTTTTCTATTCTTATGTGTAACTCTAGATAGTTTTAAGCATTACAGGCTCACCTGCTGACGGTATCCAATCCAATCTCACGGCGTCAGAAAGGAGGCGGTTACCACGGCAACGACGCTAAACACAGACGGACTGTGACGTCTATTGACGGTATGTTGTGTTGAAGTGCCTCGTCCACAGAAAAAAAAAACAAAGACCCCCCCCCCTCTTCTTTTATTCTCTCCCGTCGGCTCAGGACAAAATATGGAGAAGTACGAGCAGGTTTTGTGTCTGGGCAGGGGAGGAGCAGCAGACGTGTTCCTGATGAGGCATGTGGAGCGTAAGAGCCTGCACGCAGTGAAGAGGGTAAAAGTGGAGGACACAAGGGCAGCAAAAACCCACAGGGCAATCCTCCAAGAGGCTGACATCATCAGGAAGCTGCAGCACCCTCACATAGTGAAGTGCAGCGACGCCTTTGTGAACTCTGATGATGGATTTATTTACATTGTGATGAACTACTGCGATGGTGGGACACTAGATGACAGAGTTAAAGGGAGGAAAGCAGATGAGCTCTTCTCAGAGGGCACCGTGATGGGGTGGTTTGCGCAGGTTGTCGTGGCTGTGAATTACATACACGCGGCTAAAATACTACACAGGGACATCAAAACCTCCAATGTGCTGCTGACCAAGCAAGGCGTAGTGAAGTTAGGGGACTTTGGGATATCCAGAGTGATGACGAACACAGCCGATATGGCCTCCACGTGTGTTGGGACACCCAGTTACCTCAGTCCTGAGCTTTGCCAGGATGTCCCCTACAGCTCCAAGTCAGATATCTGGGCTCTTGGCTGCCTGCTGTACGAGCTCTGTGCTCTCAAACCTCCGTTTGCAGCCACAAACCTCTTGAGTCTGTTCTACAAGATCACCAAAGGAGAGTACGATCCTGTGGCCAACTTCTACTCTGACAGCGTCTCGTCTTTGATCCAGACGATGCTCTGCCTCAACCCAGAAAACAGGCCAAGTGCTGCCTGTATACTTAGCAGCGGGTGTGTGCAAGAACACCTAGAGTCTTTCAAACGCACAGAGGCTTTCTGTGCTTCTGTGATTGAATCTAAAGGGGAGAGCTGTGACTTTAATATAGGAGGAAAACACACAGACAGTCAGTCCCACTCATGGGAAGATGAAGACCTCAATATGAAAGCCAGTTCCAGTTATGTGGAGGAGGAAGGTTGTGATGCTTTGTGTGCTGCAGGAGAAATCCACTGCGACTGCCACTATCCTGAAGACTTTGATGAAGATGGAAGTTTGTCCTCTCTTGAGGAGCACAGTGACCACTCGGGGCCCCCAATGAGGAGCAACTCTGCGGAGTCTGTTGGTAATGTTCCTTAAGTAGAAGTACTTAGACCACTGAGGAGGTTCTTCCTCTAAAATCCTACTCAAAGATCCAGTGTGTAACATGCAGGAGGATCTATTGGCAGATATAGAACAAAACAAAGTGTTTACAACTCTGCTATCTAGTGGTTTGAACAGAAAAACTGATTTTTTGGAGCTAATCAGAAGTCGAAGCAGTGTCCGTATATTCAAATGTACATATCAATATTATATTCCATATCTGCCAATAGATCCTCCTAAATGTTACACACCGGGCCTTTTTTAATACAAAAACAGCTTCTCAAATGTGAAGATTTGATGCTTTTCCTTGCAATTATTTTAATAATTTGAATTTATTTTTTAATAATTCTGAGGTTTGGTTAGACAGATTTTACAAACCAAACAATAAGTGGATTCAATTAACAGAGAAAATAATTAGAAGATAAATACATAATGACAATAATCATTAGTTACAGTCGAAATACAAAATAGTTAAGCTCTGCCTCAAAACAGTAAAATGCTGCTTAGACGTTAATGCATCAGTAATAATAATCTAATGATATATTCTAATAGTTACATACAATAGTTATAATTACACTTACATATTTAAGAAACACATTCAATGCACAAATTACCTTTACAAAGGATCTTTATACTTCCTCCACCACTGCTTTTTTGTAAACCAGCCAAAAGGGTTCAATCAGGCGTTTTTAAAGGGTTATCCTAAGGTGATCCTAAGGTGATTGTAGTGCAGTAAAAAGTCTTGGAAATATAAAATTAAGTGGGAATATTCGAGTTCAACTACCCCAGAAATGTACTGGAGTACAGGACTTGCAACTGGCTGCGAGACTATGAAAAATTGTCTCAGAATTTAAATGTTGGACGCCTCAAAATATTTTACCTCGAGAGCAATTCTTGCTTTTTAACCAAATCTTAAAGGTCCATTGTGTGACATTTAGGAGGATCTATTGGCATTGAATTGGAATACAATATTCATAGGTATGTTTCCATTAGTGTATAATCACAGATCTACAGATGCCGCGGGTTGCCTTTCATGGAGTCCGCCATGTTAAAGAGTTAGTTGCAATCTGCGACTTCACAATTAGATGCCAGTAAATTCTACACACTGCTCCTTTAAAGGACTTGTTTAATATTGTGCTCTGAACAATTTGGGATTTAAATTTTTCTACAAGCACCAAAACAGTTTGATGTTGTGGTCATGAAACTGTAAAGAAGTATTCAATCACTGACAGTCTGAAATGTGTATGCCATTAAAACATTAGATTACTGCAAAAAATGTTTAGTTCAGTCATTCAGATAGACACTGAGCTATAAGCCATCGACACCAATGAGACATATTATACACAGGCCACATGTGTTGTCAGTAGCTTATTTTATTAACTTGTGGTTTGCCTTTCGATGAGCTTTTGTTACATTTCCAATATTAGCTTCTTAAGTTGTTTTATGATGGATATATACAGGCAAAATCAAAACAAATCGCTAAGCACATTCTTTGTCTCTTACAGTATTCCCAGAGGCTTCTGATGTCTCAGAACAAGTTGAATATCCAGATGACTTCGAGGAAGCCGAGGTGGAAGAAGAATACGAGGGTGACGCAGCCTTCGACCACACTGCCGCTTATCAGCAGCCACATGATGACGCGCTGGAGGAGTTTCAGCTCTGTGATGCTGGAGGATTGACCGTCACTGTGAAAGCATTGAAGGAAAAGGGCTAAAAAAAACACCCTTAAGAACCTTATATTGCAATAGATGGGTAAATAGAGGGGCTGTTGAGGCTGGAACATTAAAATATATTTGAAGTGTCTTTTTTTGTTAAGTGTTTTATGTAATTGCTAAAGCTAGACGTATTACAGTACATTTACTACACACCAAGATACATAATAGGGCTTTGTTTTACTGCAAGATAATGTCACAATATTTGAAATGAATCAGGAAAATTACCTCAAAATGAGATAAAAGCATAAATGTGCATTCAGCCATACCTTCAACGGAAGTATGTGGTCAATGAAGATCAAAGATGTCAAAGGTGTCAAAGATGATAACACCTAATAAGACAACTAAAATTAACATAAAAAACAGAAAAAAAAAGAGTATTTAGAAACTGAAATACAAATACTAATTGCACTCACTAAAAGAACATCTATTTATTGTAGTAGTACAACAGGTTTGGCTCAAATAAATGGTGCAGTAAGGGAGGACTTGCACACAGAGACCAAAAAAGAGATTCTGGTCTGGATTTTAAATATTTCTAATTGTTATGTTCTGGGCCATACAGACAGTGTACAAATGACTTATTTTGTACTGTTTTGGTCACAAGCTGGTAAAATGACAACATGCAGCACAGTTTTGGAAAGGAAAGAAACCTTTGGCATTGTCATTGTTTGGCAATGTCCCTGGTGGGAGTTTTTTTGGTGTGTTTCTGCATGTACCAATGTGTCCCAAAAAGGAGGTTAGATATGGATTGAGCTGCCTAAACTCCCTAGATCAAGATTGACCTTGTTAAGAGGAGGTTTATTTACAGCTACTTTAAAAAGGACTGTAGCCTGACAATAAGGACAGATTGTTCATATCTAGTAAAGAAGTGGTAAGACTTCTTTAAGCAGTCTAGTTGAGATTGAGTCTATTAGACAGGTTGTTGGCTTAGATCAGGGGTGCCAAAACTGACATTTAAATGTGGGCCACAGACTAAAAGCAAACACCTTTTATTGCATTATTAAGATGCAAAATGGTGTTAAGTGTTAACCTGCCCTCTGCCTGATTATAAAAATTAAGTATCCTACAGAGTGTAGTATAAAATTTTATGTAT